TTTTTTTTTTCAAATGAGGATGAAAGAGAACCAAATCTCCAGTACTTTTGTAGCATGCTGCTTTCTATGTATTTCAACTAGAATAGAGATGAGATGTTTTGAAAACTAACAGGCCGGCGATTAGCAGTCGCCAGGGGATTGGTTTGGTTTTCTAGTTCTCTTCTTGCCATCTGTGTTTTTTTAATTTTTGTTTCTTTTTCTTTTGAGGTATATTGGATATATTGTCTTCAAAAATAAATGTTGAGTTCCTTCTTAGACTGGTTTAGAGAATTTGGCAACTACAAGATATGAACATTGTGACCCAGTTAAGTCTACCCTAATCTTTGAGAATATTGTGGTGTTTGTATGACGACTGATACGCAAGCGGTGTTTCTCTTGTTACCATTTGATTAAAATTCTGATGTAGGGGAAACGTACGACTGAGACGATATTAATGAGATCGTAATCCCAAGAACACCAAAATACGATATCAATTTTTATTTCATTCTCAATAATCAACCACCTCAAATAATAGATGAAGAGTCCTTTAAATAAGGTTCCCAACTCTACTCCTTGACTTGTTTACCAAGCCAAGATAAATAACAACAATTAATAATAATAATAATAATAATAATAATAATAATAATAATAATAATAATAATAATAATAATAATATTCTACACCATTCTCCTCCGGTTCGGAAGGCTTCGCCCTCGAAGCCAGTGCGTTCCTGTGACCGGCGTGTGATGTCGAACCCATGGTAAAAAACCCTTGTTGTTTCCCTCGATCGAACACGAAGGTTGAATGTCGCCCAACCAGTTCAACACTCTCTTGATTATCATCAAACATGGATACGACTACAATTGTCTCACCATCATCAGCAACAGGTACAAAAACTCTTCCAGAGAAAGAAATTGTATCAATACACCTTGGGCGCAGCCAGGAGCAAGCACATATCCCTTCAGGATCAAATCCCAGACAAAAAACGTGATACCACATATTAGAGGAATCACAAGCAATGAATGTATCAATATGTGAATCTATATCAATTAATACCGATCCACTACAAATCTTGTCGCTATATCCATGCATGCAGACAACTGCTGGTAACACAAAACTCCTCGACCGGCTGGAACTTGAGTAATCGCCTTCCTTCTCGCCGGTTGAACGTCGTGTACCTACAAAGAACTCTCACACCGGAGGGGTTTTCCGGTGAAGAGCCTCCGATGCTTAAGTCAGTGTATATTCAATCAATTCTCAAGAGTAATAATATGATCGTCCTGAAGAAGAAAGGCTCACCTCCTTTATATAGGGGTGAGATACCTGACCTAGGGCTGCCCGGATTTGATGAGCTGTCTGCCCTAGCTGCCCGTCCGTACACAAAAAACGCGTGTGTCAGAGGCGGCCGTCTCCACTATCGCCTGCACCAATCCTCTTTGGACGCGTGTCCTTCTGCACATGGGGTAGGCTGTCAGAGGTGGTTATCGCTATCCACCACTGCTTTCTCGACACGTGTCCCCCTGCACATGGGGTAAATATTCTCCTGGAATTCTGTCAGAGGCGTCCTTCACGCGCCTATGACTAGGCCGAACAGCGTGGTGTTAAGTTCTCGAAGTAATCGACCTGTTGAGGTCGAATCAGAATGCTCGATCGCCTATCTGGTCGATGAATAGTTTGATCGACAGCTTTGCTTGGTCGACTGAGCGATTGCTCGATTCTCTCGACTTCTTCAGAATATGACCTCCTCAACCGGTCCTTAGACCAGCTCAGCCTATTGGGTATAATATCCCAAATCAACTGCATTCACATCTATTCCCATGTACCTGCAAAGATTTTTCTCCGTCATCGGAGGCTCTTCTTCGAAGATCGGCGGATCGTCGTAGAATGGCCCGTCAACTTGTTCACTGTCGAATTCGGGGATGTCAACGCGAAACGGGCCCTCCAATTGACCATATTCTCGATCAAGTCTCCAATCGCGTCGTGCACGATATCCGCCGGCGAAGGCAGTTTCCTCGCGTCTGTCTCTGCAGTAACGTTGATCGTCGTCGTCCACGAAAACCGGGCCCCATCGCCACTAGAGATGTTAAACGGGCTAGCCCTAGTGGTTTTAGGCTAGCCCTAGCGGGCTTCAGGTTAAACGGTCCAGGCCTAAAAAGCCCGGATTTAAACAGCTACTAAAAAAGGGACCTAACCCTAACCCTAGCGACCTTCGGGCTAAACGGGCTATGCGGGCTATAATAATAATAATAATAATAATAATAATAATAATAATAATAATAATAATAATAATAATAATAATAATAATAATAATAATAATAAATAAATAAATAAATAAATAAATAAATAAATAAAAAGACTAAAAAATATATAAAAATAAAAATAAAAATGGCTAGTTCAAAATTGTTTTCAACGGCTATTTAGTATTTACCGTCTATCACTATGTTTCATGGGTTTCTTATTAGTCGTTCTGATTGGCTTAAATATTTTCGTAAGAAGTACAATAACAATATTATTAATAATTATCTTTCAAAATCATAATAATTCATTACAACTCATATTTACATGTGAAGTGGAATACCAAAATTGTAATATACAAGTAATTTAAGAACATATTACTTACTTGATGCAAACATTTACACCGCTCAACCCTAGTTAAACGGGCCAGCCCTAGCGGGTTTCGGGCTAGTCCTAGCGGGCTTCGGGCTAAACGGATCGAGCCTAAAAAGTCCTGATTTAAATGGGCTACTAATAAAAGGACCTAACCCTATTTTTTTTCGGGCTAAACGAGCCGTATGCAGCAAAAGGGTCAGCCTCGACGTGCGGAGGTTGCCACTCGTCGAAGGATTTCACCTCCGAGATGGTATCCTCGTCGTCTTCGTCGCCGGACGGTGGTTGTGGAGATCTCTGGGGGGCGCCTCGCCTAGACCACGACCTCCACGTCCTCTGTGAACTCCCCCGCGAACGCCCCGGTTGCCGGCGTCACGGTTCGTCTGTAAATCCTCAACTACGTTGTTGATCGTAAGACGCACTTCATCGATCCCCGTCGAAAGATCCTCAACCCGATGATCCAATTGATTGATCTGATGGCCGAAGCCCGTGGCTTGTTGACCCGGATACTCAATGGTGGCGTCACGCCCGTCGATGTCGTGCTTCCGCGGCGGCATCTTGAATCGTGCTGACTTCTGATACCAACTGATGTAGGGGAAACATACGAGTGGGACTATATTAATGAGATCGCAATCTCAAGAACACCAAAATACGATATCAATTTTTATTTCATTCTCAATAATCAACCACCTCAAATAATAGATGAAGAGTCCTTTAAATAAGGCTCCCAACCCTACTCCTTGACTTGTTCACCAAGCCAAGATAAATAACAACAAATAATAATAATAATAATAATAATAATAATAATAATAATAATAATAATAATATTCTACACCAAATTCTCTTTCGGTTGTATATTGTAAGAGATTTTTGTAAACAAATGGAAAAAATAATCGTTATATTCGTATGATACTAAGACCTCGTTTACTAGGGTTGATAGGATACGATAAGGTTGGTTAACCAACCTTATCATATGTTTACTAGGTTGGTTAAGGAAAAAGACTAGTCTGATGTGGTATGTGAGTCTCCCTTCATTAATATGATGTGGAAGGATTATTTC